CTCTTTCCAGATCCATGTATCATTTGTACTGTTGTTTACTTCATATTCAACAGCTCAACTCACTTTTTTAAAGTTTGAATACTTTGTAACTTCTTATTTTGAGAGCTAAAGAAGAGTTACAAAAAAGGTACAGTTTCCTTCTATCCCACACCCTGCCTCCCCTGAAGTTAACATCTATCAAATTATGCTGGAAGCATGGAAAGTATGCTGAGGCAGAAACACTAGGACAGTACTGCTAACCAAACCCCAGGCCTCGGGCAGATTTATTTAGTTCTAGGACCCCATTTCAGTCTTGTGTCTCCTTACTCTCCTGAATCTTTCTTTTCCAAGGAAACTTCATATCATTCCCTGAAATAGAACATTAGTATAACTTGCCATAGACAGTACTTGTAAAAATAAACATAACTGTGAAAGTAACAGGCTCCCTCTTGTTCCACCTGTGACCCCTCACATCCCTACAATGCACCCCATTTTGGATGGATTGGAAGGGGGTCTCTGAGGTTACTTTCACTCACAGTGGCCAACTCTTTGCTGGTAGGACTCTAGCAGCATCTCCGGCTGAGATCGTGGTCGGGGCAGTCCCCTTCTAGGGGAAGAACCTGCTCCCAGGATGTGTCCACCTCGGCAGGAAGCTTTGAGCAGCCTGACCACCCCTCCTGGCATTCTTTGGGGAGGTCTCTCCGCTGGACTGTGCTGGTACTCATTCAGCCAGGAAGTCAGGAGCTCGTGTTCCACCCCATCTTGACCATGGCTAGTCACTCCTGGGGCTGGGATACCTTGTCAGCCTAGTCTGCCTTCACTGGCACCTACTGTAGTGTCACCTGGGAATTGGCTTTGACTAGGAAGGGATGGATTTTGCGGCTGGTTGTCCTCAGAGCTGTCTTAACTGTGTGTTTGATAGGGAAGCATGGCACTACTCAGGCATTGGGAAACTGCTTCCCCAGTTAGGGTGCCACAAAGCCACTTAGGGACAAGAACTGCGGGGCTTCTCGTAACTGTGTCTTTTGTCAGACCCCGTGTGTCCTCCCACCCCTGCCTTCTGCAAGGCATCTGACCATGGACCAGTCGCTCTAGGGAGTGACCTGGGCCTCTCACCTTGTCACCATCTTGATGTGAAGAGTCTCTGTCTGTGGAAAATAAGAATGATTCTGTTAAAGTATCAGATATCCTGAAGCTTCCTGGCCCTCTTTAAGTTCCTGTTGTATTAAACTTGAAGGGTTTTTGGAAGCATAATCAGTAAAGTTGATTTTAAAGGGTTTGAAAGCTGAAGGTGCTGTACAAGTCTTTCAGTGGCAGAAGTTTCATTTATCCCTCAGTAAGTACTATGGGGTGCATGTTCTGTGTGGGGTGCAGTGCTGGCCCTGTGGGTTCCTGGGGTAACAAGGCAGCTCCCTTGCCTCTTACAGGGTGTTTTCTAATGGGAGTCAGACTTGTGGATCAGGAGTTCCATGCCAGCCTGGGGAGCTGTTTCAGAGCCCTGAGGAAGCACTGTTTGGGGCAAGGAAGCTGCATCAGGGACGGCCTGCAGGTGTGGCTAGGAGGCAGGAGTCACAGTGGGGGCTCTGAGCAGAGCAGCAGTGGGAGGGGACTGAGGATTTGACAGGGTCCCTCTGGCTGCTGTGGGCACAGTTGGGGAAGAGGGTGGGGAGGGACAGGAGCCTTTGTCCAGGTGATAGGTGACAGGCAGGACCTGGGGGTGGGGACTGGGGTGTGCAGAAGGGGTCGAATTCTGCAAGTACTCAGAAAGGTGGGCTGACAAGACTTGCCTCGTGTAGATCCCCTCTGATTCCTGTGTGTTTGTCCCTCCATCTGGGGTCTGCCTGCCCTCCTCTCCAGGGCCCTATCTCCGTGCCCATCATCCCCAGGACTGGTTGGCCTTTGTGGGCTCTTGCTGTGTCTTTCACTCCACCCAGCCTTAAGCTTCCTGGGGCAAAGCCTCTTCCTGAGTCCTTGGCCCTCATGGCTGCTCAGTACCACAGAGTGAGACCGTTGGCTGGCTCTGTTGGCCAGCAAAGTGTACGCACTTGGAGGGAAAGGAGGGCCTGCCAGGGGGTCAGGCCTCAACCTCGCAATCTAGGTGATCAGAGCTGACAATTAAGCCTTCCAACCTGAGATCCCTTAATACTGGGGGAAGTGCCATTCACATGGCGATGGAGTTGTGACGTGTTTGA